TCTGATAATGTAGTAACTATTAGTTTGATGCAGGTGTACAAGTAGTTCAGTTTGTACGTATTTCAGGTTTGAAGCAACTAAAACATAGATCAAAAATTATCACGTCTGAAAATTTTACTTAAATTCCATTTCCTCAGTATAGGAGCTGGAGCGATAGCACAGCAGGTAGGGCGTTTGCCCAGCATGCGGACAACCCGGCCTACCCGAGTTTGATTCCTCCACCCATCTCTGAGGGTATATCACCTGTACAGCAAAACCAGGCAAGCTACCCGTGACATATTCGATATGTCAAACACAGTAACAACAAGTCTCATGATGGAGACGTTAATGGACCCTCTCGAACAAATCGATAAACAATGGGAGGACAGTGCTACAGTGCTACAGTTCCTCAGTATAATAAAACATAATTTTAGCCATATCACTCTAGAGAAATGCACACCTCTTTTCAGACTGAAAGCAATTTTATTGGCCAAAGCACTCAAGAAATCAATGCCTGAGCTCCTTCTATAACATGTTTGATAAGACTTTTTTTCTTGTTTTGTTGGCACTTCTAGAGAATTATTTTATTTTCAAAGATGTGTATTTTCATTCTGCATAGATTTGTTCATTAGTAAATTCTAATAGGGGCCCTAGAAATCTCAACCATTAGGGGCAAATATTCTGTAGTTTACTAATTTGGAAATATTTGAAGATGATAATGAGCACATTCAAATTGTTTTCTGGGCAGAGAAATATCTAATTTCCTCTATTTTCCCAATCAGTTCTAATTGCTGAAATACTGTTGACTTCTTCCAGACCACTGAAAGTATTAACCTACACTTTCTTCAACCTCTTTGCCTCTAAACCTGATATCACACTTTCTTTTCCAATTCTTATCCTAATTACATTTGTTCAACTTGTATCTAGCTTAAAGAAATTGAACTTCAGTGTCACATTGACATGTCATTTATGAAAGGATACTGATTAATCAACTGATTAGATTTTCACATAACTGATCATAGCTAAATGTTTCGTTTCTCCTTCACCAAGTCAATAATTAACCTTTATATCTATTTGCTACAATCTTTATATCTATTTACTGGACGTATGCCAGGAGATCTGGGCTTTGCATTGATTGATGTTCTAAATTTTTATTATTTGTAAAATGAGAGTTAATGGTCTCCAAACTTTCTTCCTCCTTATTTTAAATTCCTGAGGAATTTTGGAATCTATATTTTACTGTTCAGCAAGAAAATTATTTAATTGCTCTGATCATATGTCAATAAAATAATTGCCAAAATTGGCTCTGAAAGCATTCAGAAAACTTTCATTTAAAACTTGAGGTTACAGTTGATTAAAATTTATTTAGAGGCTCATATATATTATATATTATATATATTATATATTATATATTATAGTTTAATAAAATATAATTAAAAAGTTGCATAAAATGAGATTACTATCTAACTCTTAGAGAACTTTGCCATTTTCAACATAAAAACTGAAGAATTAAACGAATAATTTCATTTATACAGAGTACAGAGCAAGAACATATTGCTTCTAATACTGGAATATTTTTTCAGTGATATATATACTATAAATTATTAGAACTCTGGCTCACAAAAAATATATATAGGTTCCTTTTTCTCTATGTGCCATTTAGTAAAAATATTACACTCACTAAAGGTAAAATAATAATTAAACTCCACTGGGTGATTCAATTTTAGGGAAGCATCAGTGTTGAAGATGGATGTCAATGGATGTCCTAACAGATTAGAATACTGTTACTGCTTTCAATATTTAAAAAATAATCGCTGCAATTAACATAATATTTAGAAACTTCAAGTAATGCAATCCAGATACTTTCTGTGTTATATTAAAGCACAGAAAATCATGCACATATATGGACCCGTAATATTCATTGTAACAATTTTTAACATTGAATATATAATTTATTGGTTATAGAGCTACTTATCAATGTTACTGCTATAGTAGATTACTTTTGATTTACTGAGAGCCCTAGGAATTGCTTAACTTTAGAACTATACTTTCAAGCATCACTCACAAACACCTTACATTCTCTCAAACACATAGACACTCTCAACACAATGGCCGGCCTCTAGAGCAGAGAGGCAGAAGACAGAAAGGGCTCAAGGCAAACCCTGTTTATGTTTCTCAAAAAGAACATTAAGCGAGCCCTCAAAGAAAATGAACATATTTGACCAAAAAAAAAAGTTTCAGTAAGGTAGGTGTTTAGTTTGCTTTTGTTATGTTTACATTGTGGATGGGAGAAGCAGCAGTAATATTATAAATGCAGAGAAAACATTTCCAAATAAGATGTGGAAAATATTATCTGCAAGTATTTGGACAACCAAAAAAAATCTAGAAAGTAAAATCAGAAAGCTCATAAACTAGAGACTGAAGCAGAATTCCTGTAAGATGTGATAATAGAGATGAGCACCAGGCACCAAATCGGACCAAAGTGGTATATTTAAGGGAATACCTAAATCAACATATAATACATAGCATCAGACAGTGCTGAGTGTGCAAAATGTTTGGAGCCATTTCCGGAAGCTAAGGAGGAAATGTAACCTTCCTTCCTTCTGCATGCTAACTGACAAGCTATTAGATATACATCTCCCAGAGTGGCATATGAACACTCAGACTAAAGAAGAGAGGTATCCTCTCTTATCCAAAACACAAAAATTTCATGCTAAGGACATGGAGTCTTTGGACTCTTAAATGGATTGCTTTCAATTTGACACAGGGTACTTGAGTAATGAAAACTATCTAACTATAGTTTCAATTTTTCTTGGAATTCTTTCACCCCCATCAATTTCTTATTAACAGTAACCTAGGAGGGTACCTACATTTTCCCCAAGACAGACAGTATCATTAAAAGAAATATTAGGGCTCAAAAAAGGGAGAACTTTGTAACTGTTGCTCCCTTTGTTTAGAGAAGTTCTCAAAAATAATTCTTATGTGTACCTTTATGTAAGGAATTGCTGTGTGGGACAAATGTTCCTTTCTCAACATAGCTTATAAGCATCTGAATGAATTTACATTAGAAATACAATTAACTTTATATTAAAAGGTCAATTACCTTCACCACGATAAAGATTGTTTTTAATAATTTTTTTTTTAGTAAGGCTTCTCTTGTGTGAGGAAAAGTGACACTATCAGATGGCAATTTCATTGTTGCTTATCTGAAACTCATATTCAAAATACACTGGAAATGTCTGCATCAGTTAAATAAAAGTAACATACTCTTTAGGAAGTTTATTATTCTAATAATTAGTATTTATAATATCAATAAACAATAATAAAGTTCTAGATTAAACACAATATTATATCACTCATGAAAATATTCTATTGTTTGTCCTTGGTTTCTGCTCTCTTGGTAAAAGATATAATAAGGAAAAACTAGTTTCAGGATTAAACCTTCTATCACAAGCATATTTTATTAAAGTTAACAAATAATGGCAGAAACTAGACATTTCATCAGAGGGTTCTTGGTAATTTGTGCAAATATTCCATTTCAGCTCATTCATGTAGTACTGGAATACTCATTTAAGAGCCTTGAGATTCCCACTTGGCACTATATATTTCAAATAATAATGTAGTTTCCATTTCAAGTGGAAACCAATACCAAATTAGCACTCAGCAATTATTTCAAATAACATATAAATAATACATGATTGCATTGTATATATTAACTCATATCTCCAGAACACTAGCTGTTTAAAAATAATGTAAACTCTACTCAGAAGCTTGATCTGAGGCAAAAATCTACCAGCGAAACTGATTTATTTTTGCAAAAATAGACCAGCATACACTTTATAGGCACAGTGGCAAAGTACTAAGCAATTTATTAAAGTATAATTTGCATGTACCTTGTGAGATATAATTAATCATTCACAAACTAGTGCTCAAATTTAAGATTATTTCAGTTCAGGTCACCAGTTCATTAGCAGAAGAATCAGAATTATCTTTATCTCAATCCACCTTTGACGATTTCTCTTTTTTCCCCTAGGATAAAAAGTTCTGATTCCAAGAGTAATGAGATCATGATATGGCTTATACAATCAGGTTTGGGAGTTTGCTTAATGTTTAGAAGGCCATTTTGGAACTGAATTTGGAGTAAGAGACTAGTGAGGGCCTATTGCATTTCAAACAGTAGGATCACAAGGATGTAAATTAACAATGCAAATAAGAGGATTTTTCTCCTAGAAATACTTTCTCAATGAAAGGTGTTATGCATTGATCTACATGCTAGCATACTCTTATTATTGTCTCATTGAACAACAGCAGTATGGAAACCAGACAACCAATCCAAGAACCACAACTTAAGGAACATCACTTGGGACCTGAGCAATAGCAAGGTGGATAGGGCATTTGCCTTGCACGGGGCTGACCTGGGTTCGATTTCCAGCATCCCATATGGTTTCCCAAGCACTGCCAGGAATAATTCCTGAGTGCAGAGCCACGAGTAACCCCTGAGTATCATCGAGGATGATCCAAAAAGAAAAAAAAAAATAAACATCAGCTTAAGGAATGTCTTGTGAAAGTTTCCTTTTTTATGAATTTAAATAATTTTTCATAAAATTTATATACTATGTTTCTCCGCTCATAAGGAGCCAGAGAGAGTAGAGGAGTTAAAGCACTTGCCTTTCTTGCAGTGGATCAAAATTCTAATCTCACATCCAAAGCACTATCAGTAATTGTCCCTGAGACATCAAAGTAGGTATAAGCCCTAAACACCAGAAACATCCCTTTGCTCTGCCACCCCTCCCCCCCCAAAAAAAGGCAAGAATAACAAAGTCACAGTACAGATAATAATGAAAATTGATGCCCTGAACTATAAATCTGTGTGGACATTTCATCTTAGTTGAACCGACATTGTTTGTACTGGTTTAAATACGTTATTCTTTTCCAAAAGGAGAATAGATTTCTTCAGTATTGCCATAAAACAGTATGATGCTTGGAGTGAAATTTAAATTTTAAAAATGTGTTATTCATACCTGCACCTCCGCCAATGCTTAGAATTTTAATTTCTGATTTTGTGTCTCCAATCCTGTAAAAAGAAAAGGAGTTTTTGTATTTAAAAAAAAAGTGCTATGTGCTTTGTAAAATCTGATTATCAAGTCTAATTGAAGAGAACAAACTAAAATTATAGGAACCAAACAGAGGCCAATATGAAAGGTTCTGATCATTTCAAGGGCTGTATTACTGCTTTTGAAATTTTTAGAAATACAGGTTCCATTCATTAACCATCTTCACTGGCAGAGAGGTAGGAAATTTTATTTGTTTAGCTTGTGTTTGAAGAAACAGAACTGAAGAAGTGAAACTTTGAGTTTGATTATCATTCACTGTAGGTGGGACAAAGGTTAGAGTGATTCATACTTTATAATATCTACCTTCTTCAATTTTATTCTTGCTGACTTCTTTTGAATAAACAAATGCTTATTAAACAGTTTTATATGCCTATCCTAGGCACTGGAGATGTAAAAACATGTTAGAAAAAACTTAATTCTCAAGTTTTAAAGTGAGAGAATAAAGCGTGCACTACAGTTCTAATAATAGAAACACAGGAGGAGTTGGAAACACAGGAAGTTGACCTGGGTTCAATCCACCACACCCCATGTGGTCCCTGTCACTGTTTGGAGTGATCCCTGAGCAGAAAGGAAGAAAGAAAGAAAGAAAGAAAGAAAGAAAGAAAGAAAGAAAGAAAGAAAGAAAGAAAGAAAGAAAGAGAGAGAGAGAGAGAAAGAAAGAAAGAAAGAAAGAAAGAAAGAAAGAAAGAAAGAAAGAAAGAAAGAGAGAGAGAGAGTAGAGTGATCCCTGAGCACAAAACCAGGAATAGGCTTGAAAACTATGGATGTGCACACATCCTACCACCAGAAGAAAGAAAGAAAGAAAGAAAGAAAGAAAGAAAGAAAGAAAGAAAGAAAGAAAGAAAGAAAGAAAGAAAGAAGAGTGGGATTGGAATTGATAGATTAGGAAGCAACAGAGGAACTAACTTTAGGCTAATACAAAAGAAAAGGTTAGCTCTCTCTTCTCCACCTCACATAAGTGACCTATGGACTCACTGACATCAAAATCAGAGCAGTTGCTTATGGAGAGTGAAAATTAGGGAATGTCCTGGGCTGTACAAGGAACTATGGTACTTCTAAAAATCTTATTATTATAAGCTTTTCAGAACTGTTATATTTTTTTAAATGAGCATGTTGTGCATTAAGCAAAAATAAAATGTATGTAGAAACACCATCAGATATGCCATCTGCACTTCTATGTTCATTGTAGCACTATTCACACAGAATTTGGAAACAACCTGAGTGTCCAAGAACAGACAGCTGGATAAAGAAGCTATGGTACATCTACACTAAGGAATATGCACAGATGTTAATGGATCAACATGGAGAGTATCCTATTGAGTAAATTGAGTAAAAAAGAGAGTGACAGATATAGAATGACTGCACTCACTTATCAGTTATTTTTTTAAAAAATAGTATGAGACTAATATCCAAGACCAGAAAAAACTGGGGTCAGGAGGACTGGTCCATGGTTGGCAGCTTGCTATAAGTATATGGGGGAGGGGGGGAGGGGGGAAGTGTAGTTAAGAGAAGGAAACAAAAAATTAAAATTTAAAAAAAATGTAGAAATCTTGCCTACTTAAAACATACAATTTTAAGCAGCAGTTTTAAAGGCCTTTTGAATGTCATCATAAACATCACCATCAGGAAAATAAATGTATACACAATTTTTAATAAATGATATTTGAGCTCAGATTGTTTCTAATCAGGGGCTAAAAAGACAGTATATGAGGGAAGGTGATTAACTTGCATGCAGCTGACCCTAGTTCAATACCTGGTCCCTGGAGGTTTGAGGTGTGGGCCAAAATCAAAATAAACAAAAGATTTAAAAATTCACAACCCAGATTGCTCCTGAGTGTATATTAACTTAAAAATGCTAATTTAATTATGCCTTGGAAACTTCTCCAGCCTTTATTCACTTAAAAATTTAAATTCAATATTTCCAATTAGATTTCATACCCTCTGAAGACAGGATGGCCAGCACCTTTTATTCTAACATACCATGCAAAGTATCCCTTCTAACAGAAGACTGAAGAAAAGCAAAGGATTGGATAAGCCATGGACACTCAACATTTAGGACTGCAAAAGAAACTCAGAAATCAACTTCTATCTTTAATTTTAGAAATAAGCAAAAGGACACTAAGAGGTAAATTACAGTTCCTCATAAGTCATAGCTGTTGGCTTTGGCTTTTTGCATCAGCCATTTGTTATTAATGCATTACATAATGTTTTGTTTTTAAGAATACATTTAAAACCTGAACCATGGAAAATAGAAAGGAAGCATAATTTCAAATATATCCAACAATGTCTACTCTGGTTAGGCAGAAATCCAGTTCTGGTGAAAGAATTTCAGGCCTAAAATAGTAAAATTCAACAAAGGAGAAAATATTAAGTTTCTTTCGCTGTCGCAGTCTGGATTCATTGTCAGTCATTTCTTCTCAGTTTTCCATTATTATTTCCTGAAGCAGAGTAAGTTACAGCCAACCCCCACCCCACCCAGGTGATTTGATTATCTTTAGCATGTGGAATCTGTTACTTTCATAATGCTTATCAACGGTGGCACAAATTGAACACATTAATCACACACACAAAAAAACTGCAAGAAGTATAGGAACTACTGACTTTCACTGATAACAGAAAAATGCCTTTTTAAAGGGCTACATTGCTAATATTAAGTTGAAAGGGTAAGACTATTTTTTGAGTGATAACTGTAATAAAGGAATAGCATACTGAATTTAAATGGATATTCAGAGAACTGGGAGACACCCTCTCACTCCTGAGAGGCAGAATATTCCGTAATCATTTACATTTGATTCTAATAAAAAGAATATACTAGATTCCTTTGGGCATTTTTTTTCTTTTTTTTTTTTGATATGTAAAATTTGGAGAAAGGCAGCAAAAATCTGAGCTCCAAAGATTTGTATCTTATCTTTTCCGGGATGAACAGAGGGATTTGGGCCCTCAAATGGTTAAAGCTTATCTCAGCGCGGCTGGAAATAACTGCGCAAATCAGAGCCTTTGGATGTTTAAAGCAAGCAGAGAGGGAAAGCACCGCGGAGAGAAGTGGCGCGGGGCGCCCAGGGCCGAGCAAAGGGGCTATCAGCAAGTCCCGACCACCCCCACGCCCGCGCCCCCAACCTTCTGGGCCGCGCGGGACCATCTATCACTACACAGACCTCGCCCAAGGCTTGTCCCTTTCACAAAGGCGGCCCTTTGCGTTACCTTGCTACTATGCCTGGCAGCTTCGTGTCCAGGAATTCCTGCATGCACTGATGCTCCGTGGAATTCTTGAGAAACCTCCGAAAAGATTCAACGTATCTGCTGTGGTCAGAAAACAAGCTCCTCATGCAAGATGCCATGTTTGGCTTTCTGAAAAGACTGGAGGGAAAGGCTGAGCTTCCTCCTCCTTCTCTTCCTAGTTCCTTCTGTTTCTCCCCACCCCCATCAATTTTGAGCCAAAAAAAAAAAAGAGGCTTGTTTTGAATTTAACTTGCGGGAAAAGCTGGTGTACAAAGCCAAGCTTGTCACTAAGTCACTATTAGTACACAGTGGACTTCACCCCCGCCCTAGGCAGCTGTTGCTATTGCTATAGCGATTGCTCCCACAGCTAATGCTCCCTACCCCTAGAAAAGGTTTAATATTAATAAACCATAACAGTAAATGTTATTGTTAGGGCGCGGATCGTGATCTCCCTTTAACGACAAAGAAACTCCAGAGACTGCAAACAGCAAGCAAGGTTTATTGTAAGACTGGCTAGCCAGGGTCAAGCCGCCTACACAGACACGCAGGTCAGTTAGGTGAGGCAAGACCCCAAACTTCTTCAAAGGGGATCTTATATAGGCCTTCACTGGCCGTTACAGCAAAGCCCGCACATTTCAAATCCAAATAGATTTGTAACAACATATGCTTTCTTAACCAATCCAATTAAGGGTATATCACTTCCTAGCCTATAGTTTAAAGGTCAGCATTTTGCATCAGTGCTTAGGAACTGACAGGTTTTTAAGGCAGTCCTGGGTCTTGCAACATGGGTCTTGTGAGAGACATCCATTTATCTGGTCTGACCCCTACCCTTCGACTACCTGTATCTGAATTCCTTGCTCAGGGGCAGAAAAACCAGTTATTTTGCAGTGCAGGCTCCTTTAAAGTGGATCTGAAAAAGTTTATCTAGACCTGTTCCTTGAAAAACAAGTTATTTTGCAATGCAGGTTCCTATTGAGCTAAACTAAATTAATTCTGGTGGTAGTCCATTTTGGGCCTGTCCCTTACATTATCAAAGTTGTAAAAGGCTCAGAGATCATCCTCGTTTGGGTGGAGCTATAAAATACGCAGTCATGCATGAATATAGCTGCTATTCCGATTATATTAATCCCAAGTATTAAAAAAGGCCAATAAATCCACTATTTGAAATATGCATGAAAACTCGTAAGTTGAAAAGAAAGCCAGATAAATAAATAAATAAGTAAATAAAGCCCCCTGAAGTGGAGGTGTGTGAAAACAAAACTACATTCTAATTACTTCCTGTTTTGACAGCAACTGCTGTATATGCTGTGTATTCTTAGTCAGAAAGGGTGAAGAGAAAGTAGCCAAAAGACAGCAGAGGGGTTAAGGCCTTTGCCTTGCCAGTCTCAGACCAGATCTGAGGTGTGACCCTGAACACAAAACCAGAAATAGCCCTAGGGTAGGGCAGCTTTTGTCCCAAGTATCTCCTGCCAGTTCTTCTCCAGCCCCCACTTCCCATCCCTCCTTAACCCCCTTACACACCCCTGCCAAAAAGTAAAAACCCGGGAGACACAACCGTGAGTAAGCGTGCCACTTTCAGAAATCTCCAGCTGCTTGAAACTTCTTCACCTTAAAATTTATCTCGGCTCTGAGATTTCTTTTTGTAGGAATTTCAGGCCTTCAGGCCTTCAAGAGAATTTAAGACTGAACTCCTTCAGTGAGGAACCAGAAAACTACAAATTACCATTTGAAAAGACCACTGGTAAAAAAGTGGCTAGAGAGGATTTCTTGGGTACTAATGCAGTATAACAGCACGAATCTTTGGAGACGAGAGTATCTCCTATCAAGGATCCCAGATATTTCAGATTTATGTTCCACTTTCCTTTAGTGATCCCTTCAAAGTGCAGGGCATTATTGGAATAGATTTCTGTATTGCCTTGCCTACATTATCTCCTTCTCTTACTGCACCCTCTGGAACGTTCGTTCCCATTCTTTATGTGCCACCACCTTCATGAGTGACTGCATATTTTATAGTTCCACCAAAACCGAACTGATTTCTGAGCCTTTTACAACTTTGATAACATTTATTGTTATGGTTTAATAATATTTAACCTTTTCTAGGGGTAGGGAGCAATAGCTGTGGTGCTCAGGTGCTCTTCCCAGCTTGATTCACAGAGCTCACTCTTGGTTATCCATACTCATGCAGTGTACAGAGCCAAACCCACGCCTCCCATAAGCAATACATGTGCTCCAGTCTTTTGAGCACTTCGCTTAGCCCTGTTTCTCCTACTTCTTACAGAGCAACTGAATGATGACTACCCCTTCCAATCATGTGCTTACCACTATGGCCTTTCAGTTCTGTAAAATGATTAAAAAAAAATGTGCAGGTCTGTCTCCCGTAACTCCTCCATAGTAAAGCTCTGTCTGATTAAACCCCTTAAACCTAAGCAAAATAATTCAGATTTTTTTTTAATTCTGATTTTTTTCTATATGTAACCTATGGAAATTTTGAAACTGGCTCTTAGAACAGGCCTACTTTCAAAGTGTTACTTTTTTCTTTTCTGGGGTGGGGGGGGCTGGAGTGATAGCACAGCAGGTAGGTCATTTGCCTTGCGCGCAGCCAACCCTGGTTCGATTCCCAGCATTTCTATAGGCCCCCCCCGAGCACCGCCAGGAGTAATTCCTAAGTGCATGAGCCAGGAGTAACCCCTGTGCAACAATGGGTGTGACCCAAAAAGTTAAAAAAAAAAGTGTGACTTTTATCTGTCTTAGTGCATTTGGACTACTGTAACAAAAATATTCTGACATTCTGGGTATTTTAAGCAAGTATTTTGTTTCTCACTATTCGTAAGACTGGAAAGTCCCAAATCATGGTGACTGCTGGTTAGGCATCTGGTGAGAGCCTGTTACAAGTTAATAGACAGTAGCCTTCTTTTGGTGTCCTCACATGACAGAGGTTTGAGAAGGTTCTCTGGGATATCTTTTATAAGAGCACTAATTCCACACGCAAGTCTGCTACTCTCATGACTTAATCACTCCACCGCAGCCTCAATGCCTAGACAAATCAGTTTGGAAGTAAAATTTCACATGAATTTTGAAAGCAAAAAAATGTCAGTCCAATGGCAAGTACTATTTATCCTTTAATACAATTTTATATGATAACTTACACAAGTGTCCTCTTTTAGACAAATTCTGGTTTTACAGTTGTCTTTCAAAAAAATAGGTGGGAGCTACAGGTGATAGCCCAGTGACTAAAGCATAGCGTAAGACTGTGAGCTCAATCCCCATAACAGCGGCACAGGTAAATCTAACCAAAGTGTGCAACTCCCGGTAAACAAACATGTGAGCACTATACCACTCCAATAAAGAAAATGGGGGAAAAAAGGAGGAAATATAAGTAATAATTATGCAAGATGCCTTAAATAGACACAATACCATAAAGTCTGCCTAACTGGTAGCTACTGTTATGATCAGGTTTATTCTTGACAAGTGTTGCCCAGGAATATTCTGGTTGGTTCAATTTTTTTTCAGATGTTGCTAGGTATTCCATAAAGAATGGATTCCATGGTCAGTAATTTAGAAAGAACTGATTTAAAAAGCTTTCTCTGGGTGTAATAATGTTCATTCGAATGTTCTTTAATATGCTACTTTATTAAAGTTTATCACAATTTCTGTTGAAATGTTTATGCACTATATCCATGGCATTTCTCTGATTACTCTTTCAGTTCCTCAGAAAAACAGAGAGAGAGAGAGAGAGAGAGAGAGAGAAATCTTGCTGCTTGAAGCAAGATGGGCATTTGACTAAAAAGTCCAGTTTCAGCAAACACAACTTCCTCTTAAAATTCCATGTAGAATATTTGTTTTGTGATCCCTATTGCACCTGAATTTTCTCTAGGAATTAATACATCTAACTTCCAGTTGCAGTTACTAAATTTGAAATCTTTTCCTCTCCTTTTTGAAAATTAGAATTACAATGTAGCACATATATCATTTGCCAAGACATTACAAAGGTCACTGTCAATGACTTCACTGTTGTTTTTTACAATTTTTTTTTATTATACTGACATGTGATTAATCTGGACTAGAAAGATTATCTAATTTAGTATTCTTAGTCTCTTACCGACTTTCAGTTTCTGTCCCCTGTTAGTCACCTTTTATTAAGCTGTCGCAGCGTCAAAATGCCTTATCTATATTATGTCATTTATTCCTTCAACCCTCTGGGAACGAACTATTGGGATCCTAAAGCAAGACTTGGAGCAAATAAGTTGCACAACATCATAAACCTTCAGAATGAAGATTCTAAATCCAAATTCCAATTAAATATCTCCAATTATTTTAATGGTATGGTACTGATACTCACATTTTGTACCTTTCCAGTATCAATATTATTTTCCATAATCACTTAATCACTTCCCGTTAGTCGTCGATTTGCTCGAGCGGGCACCAGTAACGTCTCCATTTGTCCCTGTCGCATGCTAGTGTAGCCCAATGGCATCTGTTCGCTCCTGGAACATGAAGGGCCTCAAACCGATCGTTCATGATCTTGACGAAGAAGTCTGATCATCTGGTAGGTGGGCGGCCACGCGGTCTTTTGACATCCCGTGGAATCCAGTCAGTAACAGCTCTAGTCCAGCGGTCGTCTTTAAATCTCATTACGTGACCAGCCCATCTGATTTTCGACACCTTGGCAAATGAGACAGCGTCCCTGATTCTTGATCGTCGACGGATGTCAGAACTCCGGATTCTTTCTCTCATTTGAGTGAAACGTGATATTCCAAGCATAGCTCTTTCAATTCCTCTTTGGGAGACCCGAATAGAATTCTCATCCTGTTTGCGTAGGGCCCAGGTCTCTGAGGCATATGTTAATACAGGAAGAACAGTGGAATCAAAGAGATGTGCCCAGAGCCGGAGGTTCTTCGTCCTCTTAGCTATTTCTTCGATGCTCTTGAAGGCGTTCCAAGCCGCTTTCTTCTTCCTGTGCAGCTCGGGTGCTAGGTCATTTGTCATGTTGACTTCTCGACCTAGGTACACATAGCTGTTGCATTCAGAGATGGTCGTTCTGTTGAGAGCAAATGGAGCGTCAGGAAGGAGGCTGTTTCTCATAAACATTGTCTTCGTAAGATTCAGCTGTAGTCCTACCTTTCCACACTCACGGTCAAAGTCGGCCCGCATTTGTGCCGCTTGGCTGATGTTTGGTGTTATTAAAACAAT